GAGACACGGGTGGTCACGGCTACTATTGTCAAAGTTGCGTCGGAAGAGTACCAGCCGTTTTGCGACGACGAATTTGATCTGGAAGACAGTTCTGATGAGAGCGGGGCGCGCGTACTAAGTGTATCGGCGGGGATTGCGTCTATATCGGCGGCGGCTGCTTGCTTGCTTTCTCTTTTGTAACATTGCATTTTTCATTTAAAAGGCGAGAACGAAAGAATGCCAAGCCTTTTATGGTCTTTTGTAAACTCTGCTAATTGCTGCTTTGTATTTAATAAATTATTATGCAGCAAAAAGTTTTGGCTAAATTAAAGTTGTGTAAATTGAACGCACAGCTCGGTTCATTCGAATAGCACTGCATTTTCTAAATAGTGATTACGACCAACCATTTCACCGTGTTGCAAACTATTTGACATGTTTATCTAGAGGATTTTGACGATATAGTAGTCACACACTCCGCCACGCACAAAACAGTGGCTGATGTGACCCGTTGGCCACCAGTGTAGTTGACCAATCCTATTTTCTGGTTAAACGGTTGAAAAATACTAGTTATTAGCTTATCAGCACTCTACGTGCTTGCAGCCAAGCTGCCACAAGTAGATAAACGCAAGGATCAGGCCAGCTCTAGAAACAACACTTGCAACTACATCCAAATAATAAAGTCACAGACACTAGAGGACAACTGCTTCACTAACAATGTGCACAATTTGAAGGCGTTGCAGCCGCTGCACAAAATTTTTCGAGCGCGGGTCCTTGACAATAGCCAACGGCGTATTTATTGTGCATGTGACGTTTGCATGACGGCGACGTCAAATGAGTGACGTAAAGAAGCGTCGAGTGAGTGAAAGTGAGTGAGGATGATTCTGAAAAATTACTTTAAATTGGCCAACATCGGCTAGTTCTCTGTTGTTTATAAATTCACTTTCTATTTTCTTTTAAGCTATGGCTGCTAACAAAAAACACGCGTACGGGTTTAGGTTGTGGAACGGATGGCTGTGCTTGGAGTGCGATGTCATATATTACACGTTTGAAGAAGTCGCTATGCATTCGGCCAATTGCTCAGCAAAGACATAACACATTTACTCTGTGACTAATAAACATATTCACACTATTTTTCTGGCTGGGTGTACCGCTCATGTTCACTCGCAGAGTAATGCCTGATGAACTTTTTGAACACAGCTGTTCTTGCGCCTGACAAAATAAACTGGCCGTCATCCTTTGCTGACCTGACGTCATATTCTCACTGGGTGTAAAAAGCCTTATGCCGCCATGTCTAAACGGCCGACATATTGCTTGTCAAGAATGTACATCACGAGTTGTAGAGCACAATTGTAGACATTCGCTTTAATGTGCAGCTGACGGATATTTAATGACGTGACCGCTGACAAGCTAGCTATTGCATAGGCAACAAGCCCAACCCTAAACTGCAACTGGCGCACAAGCCCAAAGTTTCACAAATATTTTTTATTATTATACAGAAAGCGCGTAAATGCTAAAAGCAGCGCTCTTTTTCGTCCGCTTTGTGCAATTGAGAACCAGCAGAATATGTTAGTGCAGAGAATAACACACCAAACGTCAGGGCACGTGATTAGTTCACAAAACTCTGCTCTAGCCGGAGGCTATCGATAGCCTTGCTGGCGCAATGGATAGCGCACTGGACTCCTAATCCAGAGGTTGCGGGTTCGAGTCCCGCGTAAGGCTTCTTTTGCTGCGGCAAAGCCTATTTTTTTTTGCTATAAGCGACACGACGTACTCTTTATAATACAACTAAAAGAAGAAAAGTGTAGAAAGAGAACGGTGAGAGCTGACCGCGTCAACTTTTGTAAATCAGTTCTTGGTTCTGAATTATTCCATCGCTACCTGAATATCATTTGATAGATCAGGTGAAATAATAAATGCTAATTAAATCTATCCTCAGGCTGCGGGTCATCGCTCACTCGCTCTTTTCAGTGTTTGCGTTGAATAGTCACTTTTACAGTAACAACTGTCGCAATAGTTCTTTTTAGACCTTTATGGATGCAAGCGTACAAGGTAAATTATGCTTCATGTATTCATGTGTATTGAAGCTATTGCAGATATATTTCATTGTTCTTAAACTGTTAGCTCGTTGTTGCTGTTCTTTTGGTTGGTCCTTTTCTGCGGTCGCCACCCGAGCATGGCAATTTTGTAATACTGGCTTGAGCTGCTGGCGCCCATAACAAAAATATATTGTGGTGGTTAGTCTTTTCATGTTTGAACATTAGCAGTGCCATTGTCGATTGTGGTTGTGGTAGGCTTTGTTACAGAATGCCAAATGTTTCTATTTGGCACTGTTGGCTGCTACAAAAGCGGGTAAAAAAGAAATAATGACAAAAAGCAAGGGAAATGAGCAAAACTGCAATGTATGAGGATTTGTCCATCGCCATTTTCTGCGCCTACGCTCGTGTGGATGGGGCACTGCTCGACTTGGGCAGTCAATGGCCGTCCTCCTTTGAGACTTTTGTTATTTTCTTTTCACACCCATTCCCAATAAATGTGGATCATTAAAATCTTAGCATTGTGTAAATTGGCAAAACTGAGCAAGTGGTTTTATGTCAACAACGATACAATAATTAGCTCTTGCACAAATTCATGTCAAAATGGTTTACTTGTTAACCGTGCCATATACTGGCGTAGTCGTAACGCTGGTTGTGGTCTTTGAAGGCTGATGCATGATTGGGCTTGACTTTCTAGCAAGCGGCAAGAGTGAAGGAGGAATGGTGTGTGATGGTGTTGGAAAAATAATAAACGAGTGCGTGCAGAGAAAGCGCTTTAAATAGTCCGAGGAAACATGTACAAAAGACATTATTAGAGAGTTGTTTCAATGTTTTCCGCGCCTTCTCTCACAGT